ATTCTTGTTCGGAGGTCTTGTAATATGATTCGATTTGTTACCTCGGCCAGACCGTTGCTCTGAGGATGCGAAACTGATGTCAGACGGTGATCAATCCCAAGGTTTGAGCAAAAGTTTCTAAACGGTTGGTTGTCAAATTGTCTGCCATTGTCGGTGATGAGGACCTTTGGTATCCCAAACCTGCAAATGATAGACCTCCAAGTGAAGGCTCTTAGCTTGGGCTCCGATATTGTGGCGAGAGGTTCGGCCTCTACCCATTTTGTGAAGTACTCCACTGCTACAGCAACAAACTTTAATTGACCTCTTGCCACAGGAAAGGGACCGAGGATGTCAATTTCCCATTGTTCAAACGGGGCCGAACAGTTAATGTTGGTGAGATCTTCGGCTGGTGAGTGGATAACATTACCAAACCTCTGGCACCTATCACATCTTTTAACATATTCTGAGGCGTCTTTTTTCATAGTTGGCCAGTAGTATCCATATCGTATGAGTTTAAAGGCCAAGGCCCTGGCCCCTTGATGATTCCCGCACACACCTTCATGGACTTCAGCAAGGGCCTGGGATGATTCTGATGGCTCGAGGCACCTTAGGTATGGAAGAGTAATACTCCTGCGAAAGAGGGCACCGCTGATCATACAGTACCTAGGAGCTCGGGCTCTGATGCTTCTAGCCAACCTGGCGTCGCTTGGTAGATTTCCACTTGTGATGAATTCTATGATTGGGTCCATCCAGGATGGTTCGTTGTCAATGTCCATGATGTCGAGGATTTGACTGATGCTGGGTTCTGTTGAACTGTTCTGTCAAGGTCGTCTACCCCCATGAACACAAGCCTGGATAATGCGTCAGCTTTTCCATTGTCCTTTCGAGCAATTTTTGTAATTTCACAGCTCTTGAATTTTCGTTGAAGATCCTGAACCTTCATACAGTACAAACTCATTTTCTCCTCCTTTCTTTCAAATGATCCTTCAATCTGTCCGACCACTAGCTGCGAATCGCTGAATATCTTTACGAACTCGAGCTCTAGGCAAAGGGCTAGCTCAAGAGCAATAACGATGGCCTCATATTCGGCCTCGTTGTTGGTTGCTTCAAACTTGAACCTGAGAGCGCATTGGATCTCTGTTTGTTTGTCAGGGCTGATGATAATGACCCCTGCGCCCGAGCCCGAGGAGTTCGATGCTCCATCCACAAATATTTGCCAAGTGTCCGAATTAGTGCTCATGCTCGAGCTATCACCTGGCCCCCGAGGCCTGGGGGTTAGTTCTGCAATGAAGTCGGCTAGAGCTTGGGCTTTGATAGATGGGCGTAGTTTGAATTCTATGTCAAATTCTCCAAGCTCGATTGCCTATTTCATCAGTCTTCCTGATACGTCCGGCTTCTGAAGTATATGCCTAAGTGGTTGATTAGTGAGCACCACAATAGGGTGAGACTGAAAATACTGCCGGAGTTTCCTTGCTGCTGTAACCAAGGCAAGGGCAAGTTGTTCCGCCAAAGTATACCTGGTTTCCGCGTCCAGTAGGACCTTGCTTACATAGTAGATAGGTTGCTGGACTTTGTTAACCTCTTTCACCAAGACCCCGCTGAAAGCGTTTTGAGATACGGCCAAGTACAAAAATAAGGTGTCACCAGGGTCAGGCCTAGTGAGAATTGGAGGAGATGCTAATGTCTGTTTGAGCTCCTGAAAAGCTTTCTCACAGTCTTCACTCCAATCAAAGCCTTGGTTTTCTCTGAGGACTTTGAAGAAGGGATAGCACCTGTCTGATGCTCGGGACATGAACCTGTTCAAGGCTGCTATCCTACCAGTCAACCTCTGTACCTCTTTCTTGTTCCTTGGTGATTCCATAGACGCTAATGCTTGTATTTTGTCAGGGTTGGCCTCTATCCCCCGGTGAGTGATCATGAAGCCCAAGAACTTGCCCGAGGCCACGCCAAATGCACACTTTGCGGGGTTCAACTTCATTCCGTACTTTCGCATGGTGTTGAACACTTCTTCAAGATCTGAAATATGTTGGTCCACCTGTTTGCTTTTGACCACCATGTCATCAACGTACGCCTCCACATTCCTTCCAATCAAGTTAGCAAAGACTTTGTTGATGAGCCTTTGGTATGTTGCCCCTGCATTCTTCAAACCGAAAGGCATGACCTTATAACAGTATATGGCGGAATCGGCCATGAATGAGGTCTTTTCTTGATCTTCCTCTGCCATGAGGATTTGATGATAACCAGAAAATGCATCCAAGAAGCTGTATAGCTTATGTCCAGACGTGCTATCCACCAAGTTGTCAATCCGAGGTAGGGGATAACTATCCTTTGGACATGCTTTGTTAAGATCTGAGAAGTCAATGCAGACTCTCCACTTACCATTGGCCTTCTTCACTAAAACAACATTGACAAGCCAATCGGGATATTGAACCTCCCGAATGAACCGAGCACTGATGAGTTTGTTAATTTCTTCGCGGATGACCTCCCGACGCTCTGGGGCGAACTGTCTTTTCCTCTGTTTTACTGGCCTGGCCCCTGGGCTAATGTTAAGCCTGTGGACTGCAATTTTAGGGTCTATCCCTGATATGTCCTCAACCTTCCAGGCAAAAACGTCAATGTTTCGAGATAAGCAGCCGACAAGTTCTGTCTTTAGGGTGTCGTCAAGATCCCGACCAATAGTCACCTTCTTATCATGGTCGAGCTCAATTTCCATCAATTCTTCGACAGGGGCAAGTCTGACTTGTTGCCCGTCTTCGGGATCAATCCTCGAGATTTGCATGACGTCGTTATTTATTTCCTGAACGCTGGCAACATAGCATTGTCTGGCAGCTGTCTGATCTCCACGGACGACCCCGACGCCATTACTTGTTGGAAACTTCATGGCCAGGTGGAAGGTAGACACAATGGCTTTAATCTTGTTCAGAAGTGGTCTTCCCAGAATAGCGTTATACGCCATTGAGACGCGTACCACTTGGAAAGATGTCATCTCCGTAACTTGTCTCTGGCCAGAACCCAAAGTTAGAGGGAGCTCGACGACACCCTCTGGAGTGATGACTCCTCCACCAAACCCCTGGAGAGGAGTTTTAACCGCTTTGAGCTGGTGAGTCGAGATTCCCATTTTGGCAAAAGCTTCTTGTGAAAGTATATTGGTCGCACTCCCGTTATCAACCAAGATCCTCTTTACTTCAAAATTGGCCAAAATTGCTGAGATTACCAAGGCATCATCATGTGGGAGTAATACGCCTTCTAAGTCTCCAGTCCCAAAAGTAATATCCTCCAACTTTCCATGGGGCATCCCAGAGGCCAAGGCATATCGTCGGGCATATTGTTTTCTTCCACTGTTGGAGTCTCCTCCCGAGGCAATACCTCCAATGATGATATTGATGGTTCCAGCAGTGGGTTGACCATCTCTTTTTGCCTCAGGGACTTTTTCCCTGCCATGATCATTCCTCGGACGTTTGTCGTTACCGACGTAGGAACTCAAGAGTCCTCTTTTAATAAGGGCTTCAATCTCCCGTTGCAGGGCCTTACAGTTCTCCGTGGTATGCCCATGATCCCGATGGAACTCACAGTACTTGTTCATGTCCCTGGATTCGGGTGGTGACCTCATTCTGACAGGCCACTTCAGTTCCTTCATATCCTTGATCTCCATCAATATATTGGTCTTTGACGTATTTAAACGTGTGAACGGCGTCGGGGGAACCTCCTGCCTCTGTTTTCTCCGATGTTGTTCTTCACGGGGGTTCGGGTCATGCTGTCTTTTATGCTCGACTCTGTCATGGAATGGTCCAACCTTTCTCGGGTTCAGTGTTTCCTCCATATTTATGTACTTTTCAGCTCGGGTAAGAAGCTCGGTGACTGTCTTCGACGGAGTTTTGGATAAAGACATCTTGAAAGCCTCGCACTTTATGGCATATGTGAGGGCAGAAATTGCTGCAGTTATGTGTAGGTCGGGAATCTGAAGTCTTTCCTTGTTGAACCTGGTCATGAAGTCACGTAGGGTCTCATTTTGCCCTTGTCTAAGTTGCATGAGGGAAGCTGCTGTCTTCCTGATGCGTTTGCTGCTGGCGAAGAAAGCGGAGAACTTGTCCGCCAAATCCGAGAATGAGGCTATGGAGTTGGACTCCAAGGTTGAGAACCAATCCCTAGCAGCATTCGTCAAAGTTTGCGGGAAGGCCTTGCACATCACCTGATCTGGTGCAACCTGTAGATTCATGACGTCCGTGTATATGTTCAGATGATTGATCGGATCGGTGGTCCCATCATATTCTTTGATCCTAGGATACTTAAATCTGTCTGGCAAGGGGAATGTTAATATCTCGGAAGTAAATGGAGTGTTGGGACTGAATCTTGTCGTCCCTTTGTTGCCCTGAAGTAGGCCCGCCGTAATTCCTTCTTGAATAATCCTAGCGAGTTCCCCGGACTCCATGGTCACTGATCTCGAGGCCGAGGTCACATGTGGTATACCCGAGGCCCCTGCTCCGCCATTGTCAGGGAAATGTACTCGAGCTCGAGCATCAGCCATAAAACCCTCCTGGGGTGCTGGTGTAGGTGACGGATGCGAATTTCTTTGACTTAGCAGCTGAGTCAGTGTGGCGACCTGTTGTCTGAGCTCTTCAAAGGCTCCAGCAGTGACGACTGCCGGCTGAGGCTCTGGCACTTCTGATGATTCCTCTTGAGGAACAGGGATATCCTCAGGAGGGGGTTGGTTTGGAGAGGATGAGCTTGCTGGTGGAAGACCTGAACGTGTGTTTACCATGGCTTTTGGTAGCACTTCCCACAGACGGCGCCAATGATGCTACCAAAAATCGTACCTGCAGATTTTCGAGCTTGATGACTGATAAGGAGCACGAACGTGATCTTCCGATACCTGAAACAAAGGCAACGAGGTGTGTTCTCGTCGCCCCTCCGATGCTTAAGTCAGAAAGGGAAATATAAGCGTGAGGCTATATGCTGAAGAACAATGTAAAACGTACCTGAATAATGGTTCAAGGTTCTGTATTTATAGTAGTAAGTGACATTCTCCTAATTGGACTTAACTAGCTGGATGTCCTCATCTATTGGAGTCCTGAGTGGTTAAGGAGTTGGTTGAATTCCAGAATTATACGTGAGATAGGATTCTTGTGGGAGTTAGGATTCCTAATTGCGTAGGAATTCTAAAGGGTTAACAATCGTCAGTAGTGAGGGGGAGCCCATTCCCGAGGACTATGCCCGAGGACATATGTTTGCAATATGCGAAGCAGCATGGAGATATGGTCGGGCCTAGTGTCTCGAGGATGAACATGCTCGAGGACACCGCAGATGGATTTGCAACTTTATCAAAATTAGTCCTCGGGATATACTGATCGGGGATATTGGAAAATGTGACCATCAGTGCCAATTAAAATTTAGATTTTAATCTAACTCAAAGTCAACAATTTATTTCAATCCATATTTGATGGACCCCACAATTTTTCAACTACATATTTTATCAACTTTTATCAAAATTTATTAAAAGTCTGATTTTAATCCTCACCAAATAGGGACATTATTTGCTGTTTATTTACACGGTCAAGCTTTTCCCGACCATGGGTAGAAATGCAGCACTAGAATGTGCTACTCAGGCAGCACAAATGGGAGCAATATTGGTGCTATTTGTTATGGTTTTGGGTGGAGGATTTCCCTTTGTGGTGTATGGGGGTATGTGGGATAGCTGGGGGGCTTACGGCCTTCTATCTACCCGAGACTTTAAATAGGCCTTTATTTGACACAATGGGACGAATGGAGGATGGAGAATGCACAGGCTAAAAATTTCACAACATGGACATAATGATCTTTATTCCATGTTGAAGTTTAACAGATTATTGACATTAGATGGGGGTGGATTTCCCTAATAGAATGGTCAATTATGTAATATTTTTTAATTTTAGCGATGAAATTTTCGAAAAATACTTTAAGAACGATTTAAATTTACGGAGAGTAAAGTAGTTGGTCCAAGCAGGTTGCTTCCCTTCTTGTCGTCGGGAACTCTTGACGAGAAGACCTTAGGATATGTTGCTAAAACAAATGGTGGAGAGATTCAATGGCCATTTATGGTATTACTTCAACGGCAAAACAGTATACTAAAAGGATCTATTTGTTAAATATTTTCAAATCAAAATATTTAAAATGGTTTAGAAAAATTTAGAACAAAACTAACTGGTTATTTTCCAATAGCGATTAGGTTTAGTTTAGACTACCATTTGCCTAATTGAACTTGAA